AATTTATTGATTACAAATAACATAAAAACCTCACAGATATTACAGGCTATTCATATTTCCCAAACCCTGAAAGAAAATACAATTTCAAATATTGAAATCTTAATTTAGATCAAAACATAGTCCACATATAGGCATAACAAATATCAATAGAAATAGCTTAGGTACATTCATACCAAATCAAACACTATGGAAATAATTTTTTTTCTACTTTTGCATGGAAGCTTAAAAATATTTTATTGTTTCAATTTGTATTGCAATGTATCTGGAATATCCTGTTCAAAAATTATACAAACATATTCATTTATAAGCCTGTGAGAGCTGTTTTTCTTTTATACTAATTTCATCAGAACTTCAGGATACAATATAATGACACGTAAAATTCTAAATCAACTATAACTTTCTTATTTTTCCATAGAAATTAGTTCTCTAAGAAGTTTAAACATTATCATTCTAATAAAAACCTGGAAAACAGAAAAAATTCAGAATAAACAAATTTGGTACCTGACTAATGTTATACTTTGTTGACATCTTCTTTCTAACTCTTTTTACTGAAATCTTCTTAAATAATTGTCAAATAAATTAAAAATTTAGATATTACAGGCTATTCATATTTTCCAAAACCCTGAAAGAAAATACAATTTCAAACATTAAAATCTTAATTTGGATCAAAACTTAGTCCACATATAGGCATAACAAATATAAATAGAAATAGCTTGAGGTATATTCGTACCAAATAAAACACTACAGAAATAATTTTTTTTCTACTTTTGCTTTCAACCTTAAAATTATTTTATTGTTTGAATTTGGATTGCAATGTATCTGGAATATCCTGTTCAAATATTATACAAATATATTCATTTATAAGCGAGTGGGAGCTATTTTACTTTTATACTACTTTCATCAGAACTTCAGGATACAATAAAATGACGCGTAAAATTCTAAATCAACTATAACTGTTTTATTTTTCAATAAAAACTAGATCTGTAAAAAGTTTCAAGGTTGTCATTCTTACAAAAATCTGGAAAACAGAACAAATTCAGAACAAACAAATTTATTACTTGACTAAAGTTGTACTTTGTTGAAATCTTCTTTCTAACTGTTTTTACTGAAATCTTCTTAAATAATGACTTTGTCAAATAACATAAAAACTTTACAGATATTACTGGCTCTCCAGATTTCCAAAAAACTGAAAGA